TGTGGCCTTTGCAGCAGGTACTGGGCTGTGGTAGGTAGGCCGAAGTAGGCGTAGAGTAGGCAGTGTACCAGGCGGGTAGGTAGAAGAAGGCAAAATAGGACTTTTGGTAGGCCGACGAACCCTGAGTCTGAACTCTGCTGGATGCACAGTTCGTACACCTCTGAACTGTTGAGACACAGACCTGAGTTCAAACTCTGCTCGATGCAGATGAGTAAAATACTACAATTCTGAATTACCTAATGCGAGGCACAAGGCCCGAATAAGCCCGACTGGGCCCTGTTACCAGCAAGGTCGGCCGCCCTAATTGAAGGCAGGCCCGACTGAGGCCCATTTTGGACTACTATGCAACTGGATAAAATTCAGGCAGTTGCGCAGCGCCAGTTGGTTGGAAGCACCCAGGCCCAGGCTGCCTTTAATTGTATGTAACTGAGGCAGGCCCTGGGACAGATACACAACATGGACCGAACAAAGGCCGAGGGCAGTTGGGCGCTAGTAAGCACCACAGGCCCTGGGCCTGTTTCCTTTGGACTGAGGCTCAGCCTCATGGGGCCTACCGGAAGCTTCTGGGCCGGGGCCCAGTACCGCATTACCGCACACAGCAGCAGGCCACTTCGATATAGGGAAGGGCCTACCCACACATTGGACATTCGGGCACTGGCTGCTTTGTGCGCAAGCGCTGCTGCGCTATCGCCTTCCAGGCTCAAGTGCTCACGGGCGAGCTGGAAGGAGCAGGCAGCCATAGCCGAGCTGCGCTGCTGTATGCTGGATGAGGCGCATGGTGGTCCTTGGGTTTATGTGGCATCTGTGAGTTGGGGAACGAGGTTGTTAGTGATACGAGAGACATACCTGGTGCTTGAAGCGAACGGCATTGGCCGAGATCTGCTCGTACTTCGTGGAGCTGTTGACGTCACCAGCGGCATTGTAGATAGGCTAGATAGGATCTGACATTTGTAGTCTGGGCGCCGAGCGCCAGATAGGATGTCGGCATTGGTTCTTTGTTGATGATGATCAGACTACTCGAACATTGTCACTTATGAGCTCCTGCTGTACTATTATTTGGTGGGACTCGTGATGCAATTCTGCTTTTGGTTCGAGGTCACGACTATCTGGTCTCATGTGTATGATGCTGCTTGGTTTCTGAAGTTCGCTATCGCTCATTTGGCCGGTCAGTTCGATCTCAAGGCCATCTCCCTTTCAAAAGAAAAAAGGAAAAAAACGGGATTTCCTGAGTCCTGGTAGGCCTAGGGGAAGAATCAGGAAGGTACTGGCTGTACAGTCTGGAAACACCAGCATGTTCAAATCCAAATTCGTATCAGTTTCCTATAGGCACTTCCAAGAGGTCGCATTATGGTGCGGCGCACAGAACGTAAGATCACTGCCTTTCTTCTTCCACAGTGATCTTTCAGCTTCCCACTTGCATTGATTTCACGCGCAGTGTGTTTTTTTCGTTGAGTTCCGGATACACATAAACAAAAATGTGTCTAGATCCACGTGTTGCCAGTAGAGTTGGAGTCCGAAGGACGTTTCCTGCCAAAAAGGCAGGAACCGGCAAGACCTAGAGGCCGTGTAGGCTGGGAGACAGTGGAGGAATCAGGCTGCCGTCCAAGTATGTCAGGAGGAGCCATGAGCTGCTGCTGCTCTTTCTTCAGTCGGAGGTAGACCAGCTGCTGGAATGGGAGCAGCAGCTAGCAATAGGAAGGAGGAGGAGCGAGAAAGGAGGAAAAAGGAGAAGGAGAGACATGATTTGGCTATGGTGGACCTACATCTTCATCATCTTGGCTGGTGCTGCACCCACAAAGTGGGTCGATACTTCATCCCTGAGTTTGGGCATGGTGGTAATGGAGGAGAGGAGGACATGAGACCTTTGAATATCTGAGGTGACCTTGGATGCTCCACCATAGCTAACGTCCTAACCCTGCATACAAATGGAACGTACGTGATATGCTGTATTCGAATACAATGTCCGTACCATACTTGCGGCGCACCTGTGCAGTGCGCTGATCGCCGATGGGCGAAAAGAAAGAAAGAAAGAAAGAAGCGGCTGTGATGGGAGAAAAGAAAACACAAAGAACAAAACGAAACACAGTGTTGGGTAACGGACCTGCTGCGTGAATCCTGTGGTGGCCACCAGCGGTCTCTCTGCCAATGTATGCCAGCTAAGTTACCGGTTTGATACACTCCTGATGAGGCCCGACAGAAAAGGAAACTTGGATGTCGGTTGTGCATCCTGGGCCTCGCTCCACTACTCACCATTAATTTTTGGCAAAAAAAATAAAATGAAAAAGTCAGAAAAACACTACGGGTCCGTGAAAATGGGAACGATGCAGGGCCGTTGGACATGCTAAAACTAGGATTTTTTGAATTTTTTCACTTTCTCTGGATGTAACTGCGGTCAGATACATCTAGGTCGGGCTCCAAGTGTGAGTGCACCATAATTTGAGGGGGGGCGGAGGCAACAACACAACGGGACTGTCAGATACACCTGTTGGCACGGCCGCTGCACAAGGATGACACAGACTTAGGGCGTACTAGCATTAGGGCTCCTCTACTTTTCTTTGGACGTAACTGCGGTCAGATACATCTAGGTAGGGCTCACATGCCGCAAGATAGATGAGTGGTAGTGCGAGTACACCCTAAATTGAGAAAGAAAAACAAAAACACAGCGGGACTGGATTGTCAGAAACACCCATTTTTGTCGATTCGCATGACTCGTAACTTAACACACACACACACACACACACACACACGATTTTTGTTGAGCGCAGCCTCAAAAACTTCTACTTCGTAGAGCAGCCTGCCCCTCCCCTTCTTTTTTTTGACCCCTATTTTTTTCCATGTGCCACATCACGTGCAACGAAGGTGTGTGTACTTTGCGCCTTATATGCGACCAAGGCGCGCACGTGATGCGCCGCACGTATGGTCCGTACGTGATACGACGAGTTTTAGGGTACAACTTATCAGGACTTCAGACTTTCGGTTCCTAATCCTCACGCCGATTTGATTGTTGGTATCAACGCCTTCTTAAAGTGCACTTTCCCTACCATCCTCTCGATGAGCTACACTGCTTCACTCGCAAAGATCTTATTAAGTCTGCGCCCCTTGTCGTGAATGCATATGAGCAATCTCAGGGTCTGCCTAAGCTCAATCCGTCTGAATAGGCGATCACACTGTTTGCATTCTTTGCCTACGATGCATTACTCCGAAGAGTGTAGCTGCTTGAAGGGACCCCACTCTTAAGGTGGAGGGTGATGTTATAAACCGCAAAATTGCAGACTGAGATTTCTGTGTTTTTTCTGAGACTTGTAGCTGTTCCAGGTGTATGCTGAGATTTCTGATGTCTGAGTCTGTTGCTGGGATCACAGGTGCTATTATCTGTGGGCTGTGTGCGTGTCTGCATTCTGAGTGTGTGTGACCAGCAGTGATAACCTTCATTATTGTTTGGTCCCTTGGGCCTGGTTATTAACCCCTGGTGTCGTGATTGTGGCCTATGCATCAGGTACTGCTGGGCTGGGTTAGGTAGGCCAAAGGACGCCTAGAGCAGGTAGTGTACCAGGCAGGTAGGTAGAAGAACACAAAATAGGGCTTTTGCTAGGCCAAGGAATTTCCTGAGTCCCTGTAGGCCTGGAGAAGAATGAGGAAGGTACCAGCTAGGCCCAGGTCCTGTAGGTAGGGTGGAAGTCAGCAGGACGTTTCCAGCCAAAAGTCAGAAACCGGTGGGGCCTAGAGGATGGGTAGGCTGGGAGTCACTGGAGGAATGAGGCCGCCGCCCAAGTATGTTAGGCTGTGAGCTGCTCCTAGTTGGATGTAGATCGGCTGCTGGACTGGGAGCGTGGCTGAAGCAGCACCGAGCAGCAGCTAGGGTGAAGGAGGAGAAGGAGGGATGAAGGAGGAAGAGGAAGGAGGAGGAGTGTGTGAGTGTGGGCACGGTGGTCCTGGAGGAGAGAAGGACATGAGACCTTTGGCATTGTCCTTTGAACATTCGAGGTCACCTTGGATGCCCCCATCATAGCCAGTAGCCATCAGTTAGCATGAGGGAGGTGGAGGAGAGCCAAGGAGCTCCGTTGGACATGCGGCAGTAAGGTGATACTTTTGACATTGATTCTGGCTTCCGCATTGCTTATTGCTGTTTATTATTATTAATAAAATGATGATAGGGGTAAGGACTCTTAAGGAGGGAGAAGTGATGGAGCTAAGATGAGTGAGAGGCGACTTTGGTATCAACTTGTGTTTATCATCTTCTTCTTCCTTCAGGATCCATTGTTCCTCCTCCCTTGCCTTGTGCTCTTCCCAATCTCTTACATTTGAATCGCAATTAAGTGGCATTGTCCCACTGTGGATTTCTGCACTGAAAATTTTCTGAAATCATAACAAACAAACAAAACAACAACAACAACAAAGTCTATTGGCCTTTCTTTCTCCTCTTCTCGTCCCCTCCTACCATGCCCCTCCTTCTTTCTTCTCCTTCTTTGTTGTTCCTCTATCATTTTTCTTTCCCCTGGGGGGATTATCATTTAAACCACCTCTCCCCCCGACGTCAAAAACCTCGGGGGACCGGTAGCGCCGTTTCACGAGGGGTATCCGTAGCATAGAGTGGAAAACCGGGCGAATGGCAAAAATGGAATTTGCATCAAAAATTGGAAATGCGCCGAATCGGCGCGGTGATTATTTCACGGTCAAAATTATTTTATTTTATTTTTCTGATATTTCTCCTTGAAAGATCACGACCTGATCTACGGACCCCTCAAATTTTCAGAATTTTTTAAGCATTCTTTTGAGCACAAAAAATCGCCGAAGTTGCGGCTTTCAAATGGCAGGATTGGACCCGCCAGTGACAAGAGGTCGCCGCCCCTCCGTAGAATCCGGCCCTAACTCACAGGGCCGAGGGTTTTTGGTTGCAATTCCTTTATTGCAGTACGTTGATTGTTTTTACCGATTGCATTAGTTTCTCTTCCCATGTAGACCTGATACATGCTCTGCTATTGCTCTCAAATGTTAAACAGGTGAAGATCCTCCCAAATATGAAGAAGATTGTGCCCAGACTGATCGTCCTTTCGTCAAGCTCCTCGATGAAATGGGTCTTCCTGACTGGTAAGCTCTACTTTGAATTCTCCACCTCCATGGGTATTCTATTTTTTGATACTGCCTAATCTCATGAAACCACCAGCGCAAGACCCCATCTTGAAACTGCGGCCGTAGACTCGCCGCATCAGTTGTCTGAGTATTAAGTCTCCAGCATATTTTACACTTCATGCGTCAGTTTTGAAGGCTCGGAGTGGGCCGGGCAGGACCTTGTGCGTGATGTCAGATGCAACACAATGGACATTTGTCTATGTGGCCACAGATGGAAAAAGAGAGAGAGAGAGAGAGAGAGAGAGAGAGAGAGAGAGAGAGAGAGAGAGAGAGAGAGAGTGTTGCATGCCTATAAGTGGCAGATAAAGCATGGCACGGGAACCGATCACCATGAAAAGAAACAATAATAACAATGCAGTGGAAGACTGAAATACACAGATCTGACTCATCGGGTCTGGGTCTCAGGACCAATGCCTACATCCATCATTACTGGTGCACAGGAGTCGGCATGGCGACACAAACAGGAGAATTGTTGGCATGTGCTGAACAGATCCGCCGACGAGGGGAATGGAGGAGAGAGATGAAGAGGGGAGAAGAAGGGGGAGACTGCAACTAGATCACCCTGTGAAAGAATACTCTCAACGATAAACCCCAAAGTCTCTGTCCGGAATACAATATCTGAGTGTTATGTGCCTGATTGAAACGAGATCCAACATGGCATCCACACGTTCCCATACACATGTGCAATGACAAGTGACCTTTGGAGCAATCCACACCACACCGGATGATAAGAATACACAGCGGAAGCACACAAATACCGAAAATAGAATTGAAATGAAAATCAATTCTAATTACCGTATAGAAAGACAACGCTGTGGGAAAAATTTAGAAACGTCCGTGCCGCTGGTAAGCGCGCTAACGCAGCGTTGAGCAAAATTGCGCTAGCGCCCGAACCAGGCCCGCTGGGCGGACCCCCCCCAGCCACAGTTTTGCCTGCGCGGCTTCTCCCGAGTCACTTTCCAGCCTGAAGCTCGCCACAGGAAATCTCCCCCGCGAATTTGCCCGCGCGTTCTTGCCCTCGCCAGGTTCGAATCAAGGCGGCAAGACCCGCCATCGTGCCACGCCTGGAAGAGCAGTCTCCGACATCACTCACTCATCCCACGCGCCCCGTCCCCGCAAGCAGCCAAGGATCCGAAAGAGGCAGCAGTCTACTCGGAGGGAGAAGCAACCCACCTTCAGACAAGGCGCCTTCAGCCCGTTATCGGGCTTTCCCAATCCAAGGGCCCACCATCTTCCATCGGTGAAGCGAACTCAGCCACGTCAGCAAGGCATCTTCAACCCGGCAACGAAGACGGCCACCAGCAGACAACAAACAGCGACTTACATCAGGTAAATAACGAAACCAAGGGAACTGCCATCAACGACCCTGCCGCCTGACTAATCATGTCCTATCTGTCCAAAATCTAGACGACTTCCTCGCTTACCCACTCACTCCCTGCCCCTCTCCTTCCCCTCTCCTTCCCCTCACCTCCAACCCACTATCGC